AAACAAAGAGCAAAACAATCCAATTCCAATTACATTTATTTCCTATTCATCCGGCGTCTTGCAATTGAAAAAAAACAGTGTTGGTGACAGTGAACCCTTATCTATTTTTGTATTCCAATTTTCTCCAAATAAGGTGGAACTCAAGGATCAAGATTTTTTAAATCTGTCATACGACTATTATAATCAACTATGTACACCCTCCCAGCTGTATTATATGCATCTTTAAGATCACTTTTCCCGTTTAAAAGTGTTCCTCAAGCGTTCGATAGATGATAAGGACATAAACAGTGAGAAGCCTTTGGATATACATGTATTATAAATGCACATAAATATTAATTAGTATGCAAAATTGGATGTATATAAATGTGTATAACTATCGTACAACTTACCTATAAACAACTAAATATACAGTCATGTACCTTTCCCACAACATGTTTGATACTTTCATGCCCATCAAACACAATGCACAAACCTTCTCGGTCACTAACTTATGCCTTCAATTTTGTAAAGAACCAGGTGTATGAATCATTATTCTCAAAATCAACAATATTGAATGCCGATGAAAGTATATGGGAGTTCGCATCTTGACAACAGACTCAAGCAATATCCCTCTATATACTGAACTAAGAAAAGTCCAATCGACAACAATAATAGGTCTACGGTGATTCGATCCTTTAATTGAAGCATTAAGAAACATGAATACGTACACGAAGTGCTAATCCGATGTGGTCGACAATTTCACAACACTATGTGGATTCGATTCAAAAAAAATTTACAAATATTCATGAATTTTACCATAAGACATGTCTGGATTACCTCAAACTTCTTCCATAGTTTTTCGCTTTGACCGTCGTGCCTTCTGGTAAGACAACTCTATTCCATGCTAAACGTGCATGTCAAGTGATTTGGCGATGATGTATCCAATGACCAACACCATTCAGATCAACATGAATGGAGAAAGAACATGATCAACATCAGAATTGAAAAAAAAATAAACTTTTTTTTTCATAGGTACGTTGTAGTTTTAGTGAATATAAAAATAGATTTTTTATAAGATATCAATGTATATTTATGTATACACATCATATAGATTCATGGAAATGAACAACTAAAATGTCTTTGTTTATTATGTTGTCCATTGAATTCATACCTACGCCTTTATATGCGTTGTCGTTGTATGGAAAAAAAAAAGGTATTAGAAAAATATCTCCGAATTTCCTAGCAATGATCATATATTACCAATTTTATCTCTTTGTTAGTTAAATCAATAATAAAGAGAAGTGTAATAGTAGATATAATTTTCAAGACCCATTTATTTTAAACAATTCATATGTTCGTCATAATGGACATACACCATATGTTGCACAAAATTTGATAAGTAATATGGTTAAATCACCATTTAGACATAATTTATTATATTTTTTCCCAACGATATGTTATATACGATCTATATGTTCCGAATATTTCTCATCACATAAACTTAATTGTTGTATCCCTGTTATTAGAAAAAGATTTATGTAAATCTATCATATAGTTTTATGGAAATCAAATTTTCATTGAAAAGATATTTTTCCTTTATGTATATTGTAGTTTTATGGAATAAAATTTTTGGTAATTATTATGGTAAAATCACCATTTAAATATAATTTTTCTATTTTTTTCGTGAAAATTACACTTTGCCTACCAATCTATTCGTGTTTTTACACTTCACCCACTCAACTTTTTTCCTGTGACACTTTACCCCTTGAACTTCAAAAAATTTTGCACTTAACGACTTTCGGCCACCGGAGATGCAAAATCAAAAGAAAAAATCATGGATTTGTAGCCTAAATCCACAAATTAGCCGCCATGGTAAACCCTAATAGTGAAATATTCACTATTTTCACCTGCAAGACAAACAAAACATGGTGTAAAGGACGATTTTGCCCTAATAGTGAAATATACACAAAACTCGCTACTACCCGAAATTTGCAGTTCCCATCCGCTATCACATCCAGGTAGCTTTGTATGTAGTCTAAAACTAGCCAGAGAATTCTTTCCCATTAACGAAAACCAAATATAAATGTCGGTCTGGTCTCTGTAATACCATTATAATGTCACGTCACAATTTATATAATAATTTAATTTAACTAACAATGAATAGAAGAAAAAAAATGTCACCATATGTCTCTTGTGAAGAGAGAGAAGAAGAGCTTGTCGGGCCACGCGAAGAACTGCTTATACAGTGAACCGAATGACCTCTTTCCCTGTACTCTCATTTACATGGTGCATGTTTGGTTGAATTTTTTTTTTTTTTGGGACGACCTCTCGTATTTTCCTTTACCTCAGGTTCTGTATAACCTTGTTGGTAAGAGTAAAGGTGAGCGTACATGAGGTGATTCACGTGTCGCATCATCGCAGTATCGGCTGCTTCAACCTCGCTGACAAGTTGTCCAAAAAAATTATGATCTGCCCGACCGCTCTATCTCTCTTGGCTCTGGTCACCTGTCCCTACAAGTATAAGATAAAAAAAATTCAAAGAATGAAACAACATAATGTATTATGTACATGAAGTGTAATTAAAAATGAAACAAACAGTATAATATTCTAAATGACACATGAACTTTAAATTACCTGACTCGAACACCTCTACTGTGCTCCAGAACTGAAGGATCATTTGGAGAGTAATCGGTTCTTCTGAACTATGTGCCATACGAAGCTGACAGGCACAAGGGAGTCCGTGAGTGTATCTCAAAGCACATCTGCATCTCCAGTAAACATCATCGCTCAAGTTTCCCATCCGCTTCAGCTCAGCATTCAACACATTCAGACAATGATGCGAGATATGCAGTAAAAAGTACGCGAACGAGAATCCTGTATACTGCAAACCCTTCCTAAGTCTCGAAGACTCCAGCGTACACTTGGTAACACATTACATAACATTAGACCCACTGAAAATTATAATTAATGCAGTAAATATGTGTACCTTAAGTAATGTACCTGATTTCGGTATGTTGAGACTCAATCTTTTTATTAATCTTCTCCCACACAGTATATAGTGCACCGATCGATGTGTTAAGTCAGGTTTTCAACACAGTGTGGGCACTCTCTATCCTACACGAAGTTGTGTTACCAAAATATAATACATAATTCGTCCACGCTTTCACAAACTTCTCCTTGTGGACTAACCATGTTTGCTCCACACGTTGTAACACATGTTGAACCTTCGCGTATTTTACATACAGCTCAACAACGACATTGTTGTATTCACAGTACTCGCTTCGACAATCGCCTTCCACCTACCGTATGTGAACTTCTGAGTGAACAACTTATTTTTTCCAAAGAGTCGATAGACTCTGTCTTCCACATCCTTGTAGATGTGCCACGTGCAAAGTAAGTGGGCAGCTTCTGGAAATTTCTCTGAATTGGAGTAATCAAGCCCAACTCTCAGTCAGTGACAATAACAGTAGGATGTACCTCATACCTTATCAGTAGTCTCAACTTCTGTAGAACCCAGTCATTACTGTTCTCGCTCTCATCCTTCAAAATTGCATATGCAATTAAGAAATTCTTGTCGCACGGCATCACTCCAATCATTTACACCAACAGCATATGGTACCTGCAAATGAGAGCAACAAGGGAAAACATCAAATCATAAAACATAATCAAATATACTGATTACGATTCATACAAATTTGTTATTTATAAAATAACGTACCTGTTTGTTTTGTACGTCGAATATATACTGATGTACCAGTAATATGTCCATAATAGACTAACTAATTTAGGATGCGCCATAAACAGACGTGTCAACGCCTACGTGTCCCGATCGACATCTGTATAAACTATATAACTGTTTTCCCTAGCCAAATGCAGAAGCTGAGAAGTCACGTCTCTACCCACGAAACTATCTCTCTGCAATTTCTCTCTATAGTTATACACATGTAGCATTGTATACCGGGTTTTTTTTCCTAGATCGCAGCTAAAATTTGTGTCGGTTTTGCCTGAGCAGCAGTCATATCACGAACAATCTTCTTAGATGAAGCGCTAAGTCCGCTCACCTATTGATGACTTTCAGGATACACAGCAAGTTCATGATTATGCTTTCCTTTCTTAGCAGTAGAGGTGGCCAAATGCCGGGCCGCGACCCAGCCCGATCCGGCCCGCCGGGTCGGCGGGCCTTAATAACATGGCTCGTGACTGGCCAGAATAAACTATATGAATCGGCCCGACGGTTCTGCCCGTGGACATGTCTACTTAGCAGTAGAACTTACACAGACGCTCCAATATGCTTTTGTTTTGCGTCTAGTTTGACTTTTATCTCAAAAAGGTACTGACACGCTCTAGTTTTTGTACGTCGCGAAACAGCCTGATCTACATCTCGTATTTTGCCTCTGTATGTCCCCCTCGCTTACACTTCAAAACCTTCACCTTTCCTCTTTTTGTATGTTTCGAAATAACCAATTCGAAACCATACATAAGTGCAATATCTTTTGCCCACTGTATAGCTTCGGAATCAGTAAAAAATTGCATATCCGTAATGAAACCAACACTGTAATCAATATCGTCCCCTCCAAAATCTTCCAAGGACAACTGCAATATAGTACGATTTTCATAATTTTACAAGATAATAAATTATAACCTATAACATAATAATTTCGAACTTATAACATGATATGAATAAATTTTAATTCTAAGATAATCAATTCTAACCTATAACATAATGATTCTAACTTCTAACATGACAATATATAATTTCTAATCTATATAACATAATTATTTATAACTTACCTCTAACATAATAATTTCTAACTTCAAAAATTATATTAATAATTATAAGATAATTAATTCTAACCTATAACATAATATTTTTCTAACTTCTAACATGATAATATTTAATTTCTAATTTATAACATAATAAATATATAACATAAAAAATGTTGTCGGCCGGACAAACCGGACGGACAAGGTGTTGCCCGGCCGGTGATTGCGGACAGCACCGGAGCCGTCCGGCCGACCTGTTAGGACGCGCATGGTCGCGTCCGGCCACTAAGGACGGGCGCGTATGGGCTTGTCCAAACAGGCCGGTCGGACAGCACCATGCGTGTGCTCAAACGCCGGTCAGACAGCACCATGTCCAATTGCAATTTCCGGCTGGACGGCCGAAAAACATACTTCGCTCGAATACATTTTTTCGCCGGAAATCGCCTGGTCCAGAGAATTTTACAATTTTCTGAAATTTTTTAAAAAATGAGAAAGGCAAAATGATCTAATGAGGGCGGTGCATAGTAATGATAAAGTATTTTTAGTGCCTTCCAAATGCTTTAAATTCAGTGTTTTCGAGAACAATTTTAAATCATTTCGATCGCTTGTATTCTTTGGCTACGTTGTACAATGTTGAAAATTTCCATATCTGAAATTTCCATATCTGACTGATCATAAGGTTTACTGGAGGAAAATGAGCATTGCAACAGAGTTTTGAAACAACAAGTTACATGAGAGTTTAAAAGGTTTATTATTAAATATAATACAAATGTGGATGGTTTTCTTCTTCTTTACATCCTCGAATAGCCCCTCTGCTCTTCATATTGCTCCATGAACTCATCGTTGAACTTCTTGAAACATTCCATAATTGCAGGCATGTCTTCCTCCGTTGGTAAAATTGTGGTTCTCAGGTGGAAAACCCTAAAATAAAAACAAAACGTTGAGAAACGGCAGAATTTTGTGAGACACGACAAAAGTCACGTACCCTTCCTTCTGACCAAATCCGGAACCTGGGACAGTTGAAATTCCGGTGGCTTCTAGAAGCTTGAGACAGTAGAAAACATCAGGAACTTTTCCAGCCTGTTTCGCAGCCTCCAAGGCTCTCGGTGGCAACCGTATTTGGGGAAACGAATACATGGCACCTGAAAAACACACCATTTTGGTTTTGAAATGAAAGAGGCTTGAGATTAAATGAAGATCTATCTGGTCATTCATTTTTTTCATGTGCTCAATTAGTTCCTAGTACATTTTATTTTGTAACTGATAAGATATATTACCTTCAGTAAAGTTGCAAACCACATTTCTGCAGCTGTTGAATCCATCTGTCATTAATTGCGCTCTCCTTCTCAAAGACTCGAGGATGCCTTTGCTGCAGTTAAATCGTGAGTAAACATATGAAATTGCGATTTAAATTTCAGTTGTTCTTGTTTCAAAAATTTGCTAGTAGGCGTGTGCATCACATTATGGAGGTTGGATATGTAATCACCATTCGCCAGCATTTTCAATTTATAAATATACCTCTCTCTAACATATCTTTCATAAGATATATCTCCAGGTTTAGGAGGGTTGACCATGATTCCCATCTGCAAACAAGTTAGAGTGGCTTGAACTAGTGAAAAATTAATTATGACCTTTGTCGTCAGCACGGATTTAGAATCCCAAATTAACTGAGGATAAAGAACACTTTACAAGAAAAATAAGTGGCTTACAAGTATTTGTGCAGGGACATTTGGACTCAGTGCTATTGAAGCAACTTTGTAAATCTCCTCCACCGCCTTGAAATAATAGGTTAAAGAACCGTACAATATAATTCACGAAAAAGGATACAAAACAAATGAACAGCTAAATCAATATAACTGTTTATTTTTTCAATTTTCCAAAATCTAAATACTTGAAGCATATTTTGTATGATCATAATTATAATCTATTCATCGTGTTGTATATAGTATATAATTATTAATATATTATTAATATATGTGTGGATATGGGTGTGTATGTACTTAGATTTCTTAGAGTTACTACGTTGTACAATGTTGAACCTCTAACACTATTACTATAATTCAAAACATTTGAAGTGGGTAAAATTCTCCCTCTTCCATTTTTTATGAAAATGCACCACATGCATGTTGCTAAATTATGTGAACCTTGGGAGAAATATTGGTCATTTCAAAGTAGCCACCGCGCTGCCCACATTCCCCCCAAAAACCTTTCGAGATCGTGTGGAAAGAAACTAGCTCCAGCTCGTTGCTCATGGGTGGGCCCATGTCCATAAGAACCTTCCCAAAAGTAGAGGCATAATAAAACACAAATCACTGAGTTGAAAAAGAATCCATGTGTAGTCAAATTGTGTACCTTCCTAGAGCTAACAAAGGGGCGCTCATCTTGGTAAATATTCTGCTGATAGACTTCATCCCCAAGCAATACCAACTTGTTCTGGTAACAGAAATTTATAACCTCCCTCAGATTTGCTTCACTAAGACACTGCCCGGTAGGATTTCCAGGATTTATAATCACCATGGCTCGAACCTTATCAGAAATCCATGGATATAAAGAGAATAAGCAAGTCAATAATAAATATACGAACATCATCTGTTTGAGATGATGATGGAAAACTTCAATGCAGCTAGAGGCTTTAGACTCTTCTACTAGTGTTGTGTTCGTGAAAATTCACAAGTTGATTTTACCGTTTATGACTAAGAAAGAAAGAAAAAGAGTAGAGTTTGTTTGAATGGAGTTCGTGTTGCCTTCTGATATATGAAATACTTCTATGTTTTTCTTCAAGTTCTCAATGAGAGACTATAAAGAGAGCGACGGAACTCCCAAAACTTTATGGCTGGAATTTAGATAAATTTACAAGTGTAAATTGTCCTTACCATACTAAAGATTTTTGAATTATAATGAAAAAGATTATTGTATCCGGAAGTCATCCGTGTACCATAGAAAAATTGTAAGCATACATAACAAACATTGCTTTGGGACATCAATCCGAGAAAATGGGAATATAACAAATTTGTAATAATACTTCTATTGAAGGTGCATGCATATGAAGTTTCCCAAACAATGTCCAAAATGAAAAAGGAATAACTGAATTCTCAGCATGGGCCTTATTACAGGAAGCTGCAATGGGACATTTATAGAGCAATGATCTTGGGACACAAGTAATATCTATTTATACATACATTATCATAATGCACATATATTAAAATGTATTGATATTTATAATTGTACATAAACTATCAATAACAAACGCCATTCTTACAGTTATCCCTTGAGAACGAGCCTGAGCAACTGATTGGCGAAGGTTAACGATATCAAGACCCCAATTTGCAGTCTCCTCAAGGTAATATGGAACAAGTGAACCACCCAATAAAGCAATTGTTGCAGAGTAGAGTGGATATTGTGGAACGGGAACCAATATCTACAAATAAACCACACATTATGAACATGGAAAAAGAACAACTATTTGCAAAAACTGCAAACTTGGGGCAAAGTGGGTTGAAATATCAGAAAGCAAAAGGGTGTAACTAAATACATAAACAGTAGCCAAAGGCATTATTGGACGAAACGAAGCTACAAAAGAACATTACCCCATCACCTTCACCACGAATGATGGCTTGCAGGATCTGCATGACTCCTTTGCTAGCACCATCTGTTAGGAATATAAGTTCGGGATCACTGCAAATGAATGCAACTTAGCAATATCAAGTTTTGGAACTAGAAAATCAAAACTATCCAAATGACAGAATTAGCCTATCATTTTATAACAACCTTGGATATCCATCCCGTCTCTCGATAAACTCTGCCACTTCTTTCCTTATTCCCGGGAGGCCACGTGAATCACTGTAAGCACCTGGCTTAATGTACTGAATTATTATTTCTGATTATTGTTATCTCATGTTATTTATACATTCTATCTTCAACAGTCAAAAGCTGTGCATCTTGACGAATATTAAATCGCGCAGATGATTCCTTGATTTAACAGAAAATCATCTGGACAAGACATGGCAAATTTTGACAGCAGGACACAAATTTGACAAAAAGACGGGTAATGTGTTCACACAAATGCTGTGGCCTAAATTGACGAACTTATCAGCCTTCATCTGCTCATCATCTTTTGGAGGAGGTCATTGATGTATATTTCAAAGTACACGTAAACAGAGATAAAACAGTCACTGCTTTGACTACAAATTTTCACCATCTCCAAAACAATGTTCACAATAGACAATAATTGAAAATGCAGAAAAAAAAATGTTCCTGACTCAATACACATAAGTTGTGGTTATTTTCCTGACAAAAGAATAATAAACAAAGGGATAAAAAATCCAGCCCAAGATTTTAAGGGACTTCTGATTCATGGGAAAATAAATAAAGAAATAAATAGAGTTGGTCTACCTAGACCCCCCGAAGTAAGTGAAAGATAGTGTTTAGCTCTTTCAATCGCATCAGCAGGAAAAATGAGTCCTACATTTGGATCATCCAGAAGGAATGGAGCTTGACAGAGAGCAATCACCTGTAACATCACTTTTCTCATACATCAAAAAACAAACACAACAGAGAAAGAAAATAGAGGAAAGATAATAAACGGAAATAAGTATGACGTAAAACCTGGCGAGGAAATGTCAGAGGCTTCTGTCCAAGAGCATGAGGATTGCCAACATTGGTAAAGATGATCTGCCGTAAAAAAAAAAAAAAAAAAGAGAAAAAAAAAAAGGAATGATACTGGGAAAACGAGGCATTGGAGATCTTAAAGAATCTTTTGATAAGTTTTCTGTGCTAGAAAGGTTATGCTTCATTACGGTTGCATGTAAGCTACCAACAGCATTATGCACCCACAATTCTCTGTGAGAAATATACTAATTTTTGTTATTGAAGTGAACTGCATCCATCCGAATCTAATTTCACCATTATGCAGAGTATTTGATTGTGCTGAAAGTCAAGTAATTGCAGGACAGTTCAAATGGATATAATAAATCACAAAAATTTTCATCCATCCATATATTACATTTAGATACGAGGAAAATCATTTTTACTAGGTAGCAAAAAACTGTGCATTCCATAGGAAAATAAATTGAATTCCAACAATGAAGCTGAGAGATGTAATTAAGCTGCTACCATAAAGTAAAGTATACCTACCTTCTTCCCCTCTTTCTGAAGCTCAGAAGCCCGAAGATACAGCTCACCTCGGACGGCATACTGACATTTCTTCACGTTTTCATTCAAGTTTTCATAATCCAGTGACTTGCCCATCGTCAAGTAATCTACAGTCTTATTGTGACACGAATACTGATAGATGCCTGTTCGTAAGATCAAATTTGTACAAAAGATCATCAAGAAGAGAAAAAATTAAAATCAACAAAACCACAGCCAAAGGGCGCAGATGCGCAATAAAATGAAGCAGTAAAACTGACTGATAAATTTGACAGATGAAAAAGTCACCTTGAGTGAGCTCAGTGGTGAACAGACTGCTACAGTGGGCTCTCTTTCAGTCCAAAGCCCAGTTTAATGTTACAACTTCCAATTGGAGAAGAAGAAAAGGTTTCTTTTTTGTATATTTTAATTGAATTTAATTAGCAATATTTTAATATTATTATTTTATTTTATTTGTTGAAATTCAGGATAAATGGGATATTGGATTAATTTTATGTGGCACTCTGGCAAGAAATAAATTGTAGGCAGCAACCACAGCCACTGAAAGAATAGTGGATCATGGCCTTTTGGGATTCTTGGGCCTTATTTGGAGTTTAGGATAAAAACAATATGAGACAAGAGTGGTTCAGCTACAAACTAGACTATAGATAATTGCTGTTTTACAATTTATGTGGCAATGGATTCTCTCTTATCAATCTCATTTTTCCATTAAAATATGGGACATGAGTTTTGTTCTTTTATTTGTTTAGATAAGAAAGAAAGTTGATATTGTTGGGTTTTTGCTCTTTTGTCCCACATCGAAAGTGGGATGAGAGAGGAGGGGATTTTTCCTTATATAGGGGAAAAATCCCCTCCTCTCTCATCCCACTTTCGATGTGGGACAAAAGAGCAAAAACCCAACAAACTCCACCTTGCGATTTTGGCTCATCTGACAGCCACTATTCACTTTGATGAAATTTTCATAGCTTTCGCTATCATGCTCCACCATAAAAGCATATCCACTCAGACTCGCATCCAAGCATTTCTTCGGCCCATGTCGAAATAACCTTGCTGAAATCTATGGTGCAACTTCCACGTTTGGCATTCCTAGAAGTTCATCAGCCCTCGACACGCTTTTTCCACCACACGCCATGCATCACCGCCAAACCAATGCCCGTGTGTAAACTGTGGACCCGCTAATTGTAACACGTCCTCTTTCATGACACTTAGCGACATGCCATAAGGACTCCCCTTTCTCTCTTAGCAAAACTCATCCATGGAGAGAGAGACAAAATTAGCTTCTTCGGTATCTCCACTTACCGACTTGGAGCTTTTTGCCGAACCTGCTCCTCCTTTCGGACAATTTCTTTTCACGTGCCCAGATTGTCCACACGTCCAGCAAATCACAACTTGCTTCTTCCTGGAGTTCCTCTTCTTTCCGTCACCGACGAGCATGACTTGACCTTCCGGTGAATTGTTTCGTCCACCATCTAGCCTTCTCTCTTCCGCAAGAAGTTTACCAGTGACTTCAGAAAATACGATTTTCTCTCCTTCCCATGAATCAAGATCGGCTTCATGTGTTCATAAGAAGTTGGAAGAGACCAGATGAGTCTCAACGCCTGATCCTCATCATCAATCTTCACTCCAATGGATTCCAGCTCCGAGACGATCCCATTGAGAACGCTTAAGTGGTATCAGAGCGAGGTTAGCCTAGTTAGTATTCTGAGTATGCTCTGTGGTTGCAGTTTTGTCTGATCTTCCACATCAAAAAAGATACCAAAGAGGTCTCTTCGTGCGGTGGAGCCAGTGACGGGTGGAGCTTGTGTGCAGAGGAGTTTTTTGAGCAGTGGGGAATAATTACTGTGTAAGTAGGTTCTGTCTAGGAGACTGGTTTTTTTTTTTTTAAGTGGGACCGTTGTGACCCCACCAGCCTTTCCTGGGAGCTTACTTAGAAGGGTAATTCTTTAGGGGGCAGGTCGCTACCCTCCCTGAGAATTTATCTGATCAGTACTATTAAAGGTTGCTGCTCGGTTTTCTGCGAAGTTAGTGTTCACTGATTCAGGAAGATGTCTGGAATTAAGATATCGAATCTGGCGAGATTTGATGTGGAGAAATTCGACGGAAAAATCAACTTTGGCTTGTGGCAAGTGCAAGTGAAGGACGTGCTGATTCAGTCGGGGTTACACAAAACCCAGTTCTCCATCAAGCCCAACATATAAGCCCAAATGAGGTTCCACTCTAAAACCAATTGGCAATAGAGGGAGTAGCCCACTAAGCTTATATATTGACTTAGAAACCATTAATTTTCCGATGTGGGATTGAGTTTGCACACCCAACAGATATGTCTTCAAGTTGAGAAAAAAAGAAAGTTGATATGTCTTCAAGTTGAGAAAAGGATGGATTAAAGGCATGATTTTTTTTTGGAAATTTTTTTATTTTAAGGCATGATAATTTTTATCGTGTCGAGGCAGGGTGTGCATTTTCAACTTTCTCGAGAGTTTAATTTTCAAGTTATCTTCAATTGAATGTCTAGTTTACATTTTAGTTCTCAATTCAAAATATCGACCAACTTTATATTTTTACGTAATATATGTAAACTAAAATACTATGATTCGAAATTTTTTAATTTAAATAATTATAAATATCTTTAGTAAAATTATCTTAGTAAAAATATTAATTCATTTAAGTTACATTTATTCAAAATTCTAATGAAATTTAATTTAAAATAAAAAAATATTGAAAAACTAGATTTAAGAATGTATGATTTGAATAATATATTAATCGTATCATTAATTAAAATAATAATATTATAAAATAAATAATTTTGAAAAATTATTGTATTTTTCATAATTAATGTTATTGAAAATATTATTCGTGTGTAAAATTATTATTGTGAAAATATTTATGCATAAAATTATTATCTAGTGTAATATTATATTGAGAATATATTATCTAATATTATATTTAAATATTTTTATTTATAATATAAATATGTAATAAAATTACAAGTATTTAGAGTTATTCTAATTTTTTTGTCTAAACTTGATAATTGATGTTGCTTCGAACTATGAAATTTGGATAAGAAGAATAGTAAAAACTCAACAGTGAAGCTTAGGAAAAAAAAAACAAAAACAAAAAAAAAAAGAACAAAAAACTAAAATAATTTTATAACTAATTTATTTTCTAATTTTATAGATATTCAAATATCAACCAACATAATATTGAAATTATATATCCTTAAAATTCATTTTCGAGTTTTTGAACTTTTAAAATAATTTTGCTAAAATTTTGCATTAATGTAACTTATAATAATTAATTTTTTTACTAAGATAATTTGACTAAGATATTTAATAATTTTTATTATTAGTATTAATTTTATATATTAATATTTTATTCAAAAGAGAAATTTTGTTAGGGAATTATATTTCAATTAATTTTATTTAGAAAAAAAATAAAATATCTTTTTCTAAATACTTTATAAGTAACATGTTTTTTTACTTGAGAAAGTAGGTCTTCATTGATAATAAATTAAAATTGAACCCACAATTAAAAATGTAACGCATGAAATATTATTTACTATTTATGGAACTCGACTCTATTTCCATAAATAACCAGTTTCCTTATTTGATGCATTTATTATTATTATTATTATTTGCATTAAATCGAGTAATTAGTTTAAAGCCTAAGCCTTGGAGAATTCATTCTATTTTTAATTATTAAAATCGGATATATTTAGCCCGAGTATCGTTTTATTTTTAAAACTGAGCATTAACTTAATCGAAATTTTATTAAAGCGGACTAAAGCCGAATATTTAATCTATTCGAGAATAATCATTTTTGAGTGAGTCTAATTATTTCAGCAGGCCCATTCAATTTAACTGAGCCTATGTTTGATTTTATTTCGGCCCATTTCATTTGATCGAGCTCATGTTCAATTTAATTTTAGTCCAATTTAAAAAAGAGCCTATTCCATTTTCAAATTCGAGCCCCAATTATTTTTGTAAATTCGGCCGACTAATTTATTTAGTCCTAATCCGGTTAATTTTCTTAGCCGAGCATTCCTATGTCAACGTCGATTAAATCGAACCCAAGTCGATTTAATTCACTAGCCCCATTTTATTAAATTTTAAAGCCCGAGTGTTAGTAATTTTAAGCCCGGTTTTAGAGCCAAACACAAGTGAAACCCTAGTCTTCTTAACACCTCCATAAATACACTCCATCCTCTTTTCTATAGCACACTTTCCACTATTCATCTTCTTCCCAACAAATACAAACCCTAGATCTAAATCCTCCACACCACATTCAAGAGCATAGAACCATTTTTATTAGCTTTCATCTTCAACAAAATGGTCCAATCAAGCTAACCTTCACGAACCCGAGCTCATTGAACCGAACCACTGGTGAACCTCACCTTCCCGTCGCTGGAAAAGTCGAACCTAGCCACCGGTGACCTCGTCTTCACCAAGCCAAGCTCTCACGTCGCTCCTCACGCTGTCTTGTTCAAGTTGATGTCGTCCGGTTGCCCATCCACGAGCCCAACTCCCTTTGTCGTCACTTACAGCAGCCCCGCCAAAAAATTTGTGACGACGGCCGCCTTCAAGCTCCCCTGCCCGTCACAGCTCCGTTGAGCAATCACCGCGATGACCCGCCGTCACAGCTGCTTCGCGATGACCCTGTTCTGGAGAGTTTATGTCGAGCTCCGCAGTTCGACATCCGTTGCATCTCTGACTAGTCACAGCTCCCTCCCACCGGCGCGACCAACAGCTCCCTTCCACGACCAGCTGCAAGCTCCGAACCCGAACCAGATCTGGCAGCCCCAGTCCCGAGCAGAATCGATCGACTCTAGACAACTCCGAACTGAGTCTGAAAAGACCCAACTCAGTCACGATTAAGTCAACTCGGTTCAGATCTGAGTCGTTTCAGTCTCGATCCGCAACCCTAGCTCCGAGTTGATCAGTCTCGAGCATTAGTCATCTTGGTTAGCTCCAAACCACGACTTTTACTCCCGGTCAACTGTTAGAGATATGCTGTAAAAGTTATGTTTTGCAGATTCTATCAATTCCATTTTGATCTGGCCATCATGTTTCAGTCAAAGTACATATGTTTGCAGTTTATTTATTTATGCAAATCATACTCCATGTCTTATATTGAGATAGTGTGGTTCGAAGTTATTCGAATAAAAAGATCACCTATCGGTTCCTTATAAGACTAAACTATTCGTTCACAGTCTAGACAAGCAGTGAGACCCCTCTTTGGAAAAGACTGTAGTGTATTCTTGATTCAGTTGGTCTTTGACTGAAGAATTACACTAACACTTATGTCAAGTGTTGAACTGTAATACCCCATTCGATTGTGGATTATTGGTGTTATTATTTATTTTCTTTATTATTATTTATACTCCTTTTATTATTATTATTATTATTATTATTAATACTATTATTATAATAGAATGTCTATATATATATTTATTTGTCAAATTGTAATTATCTGTCTAAATGCATATTTTTATTATTATTAATATTATTATTTTAAAATATTATTGTGTGACATATATGTATATTCCAGATTAATATATTCGTCGTCAAGCGAATTGTTCGATGTTATTCCTCGGATATAAATCTCGTCCCAATTGGAATTTAATTCCAATACCTTTTACTATGTTATTTATATCGACCCAATGTAATCTTTTCAGCCCAAACCAGTTAAAACATTTGGGCCTTTATGATGATTTATTTTGGCCCATGAGATTACGAACTTCCAGCCCAGCGAGTTATCTCTTCATTTGCTCTCTTCTTCGACCAAGTCGTCGCGTTCAAAATGTTGGTGCGATTCTCTCGCAAGATCCTCCTCGCACAATAGCTCAAATCGCTTGCACATCTCTATAAACTGTATCGAGAACGGTTTTAAATTGTATCAGATAAATCCACCCTTTGTTCCTCCATTGCCATCGAGCAGAATAAATAAATTTTCGAAACCTGCAAAAACCTGCGCATACCACCATTAATTCCA